GGTGACTAATTTGCTATGAAGCTGAAACTAAGATTACCAAGATTATTCGCTACTGTGCCTACTATTGTTCTGAGTTCTTTACTGTTGTCTCCGCCTCTTCTTGTTTCTCCTGTCGCATTTCTTATACATCTCATCTCACATGTTACAATTTTTGAGTGTATGTTGTTATAGGACTGTCGGCTTCTGGCATTGTTAGCACAAAGTTGGTACAAATATCACCTTTGTCGGTTGCTTCTTTGTTTGCATGTTGATATTTTGATGCCTCAAAAGTGATGCTATTTGGTAATTTATGTTTCTGGCCTTTTGTATTTGGTAGATTCGTTATATTGTAAAATACTGGTTTCCAATTAGATAATACCCAAAGCCTCCCCCCCAAATCAAATTTTTTTTTTCAGAGGTCTGTCACTGACATCCTACTTTTGACAGTCATTAAAGAAGCCCTACTCTGGCTCTTGCCAGGGGTCGCAATATAGCCCGGCCATAAATATGGTCTAACGGCGAACGCAGTTTCCGGAACCTCTCCACTGTGATGCTCATCCACATGGTGGCACTTTGTGTCATCAGGTGTTTATCGGTTGTGTGATGTCCTGGTGGGGTAAATGAAGATAGATAGAAAGAAAAAAACAGAAACTTTAATCTATAAACATCATCATCGTCATTAGCCCGTAACACTGCATGTCGTTGCGTCACCAGTTGCTTTTGTCTGTCTAATAAGCTCTCTCCACCTTTGGCGGTCAGATTCAATAGACTTCTTGGTTGCACGCCTGAGGCCTGTCCACTCAGTCAAGTTCTATTATCCAGGTCTTTCCATGGCCGTCTGACGGCATTATGGGCCCCCTGGCAACCAATTTGCTGGGGCCTGACGAGTCACATTCACATGAATGAAATGTAAATGGTCGATAATATTAAACATATATTTTTTTTTTACTGGCACTTCAGCGAAAGTGGGTTAAAGTGTAAACACAGATTATACGGCAAAGTATGCAACTACTCCCTCATTTGGACACCACAGGGGAAAAGATCTCGTGGAAGACCAAGGGAAACCCTACGTAGAACTATCATCAGGGAAGGCTCGCTCATGGGCCACTCAAACATCCAAGACCTACAACGGATTGCAACGAACCGCCATGCATGGAGAGTCATGACCTCTGCCCTATGTGCCGCACTCGACACAAGAGGAAAGACTAACTAACTAACTAAATGCAACTACTACGAACTTTTTATATGGCAAATTACACTGGTCAACAAATTTGCAAAAGTTTTTTTTTTTTGGGTACTAGAATTTAAAAAAACACATCAATATTGATTTATTTTGACATGCTGTTTTGAAATATCATAATACAATTTACTATTTCGATCTATTTTTTTAAATGACGAGTTTACATTACAGTAGAACAAACAATGCATGCTTTTTTAAAAATCCTTGAAGTGAACAGTAAGTCTATCTATTTTGGCTTTATAAAAATTGTTGCTGCACACTCAGTTTATAGATATTCAACATTAAATGATAGAAACAATAAATAAAAAGAAAAAATTGAAGTTCACATGTAATGTTTTAAAAAGAAACACTTGAACCTTTTCCGTCAATATTCAGGCCATGTTTGAGCTCTCTTTGCTTGTTTCTTGTAGTCAATCGATGAGGTGTGTCTTGACACAGTCTAGCAGTAATCAGCAAGCAATGAAGGACTCCAGTTGCCTTGATACCTTGTCTCCATAGCAGCAATGTCATTATGAAAGTGTTCACCGTGCTCATATCTGACAGCTCTATAGTTTGACGCAAAGAAATCCAGATGAGAATGAAGAAAATGAATTTTCAAAGACGTGTTGCTACCAAAACTCTCATACTTCAGAAGGAGATTTTGTACAATCTCATTGTAATTATTAGATCTGTTGTTTCCAGGAAAATTATCCACCATTGACTCTAATAGATGCTAGTCATGCTGCATTTTCCTTGCCACGCAACACGCAAAGAAACTTTTCATCGTGAGGTAAATATAAATGTACAGTAGAACCCAGCTTAACGAGAACCTCTCATAACGAGTAATTTGCATAACGAGCAAAACAAATTGTAAAAGAATGACTTGCTTAACCAGCGACGTTTCGCATAACGAGTGGCGAGGAGAGGGGAACTCCCGGAGTGTGCGCATGTTACACAAACCAGTCTGTGTTTAGCACTCGTTCCATTAGCAACGTAGTGTCACTTGTGATCACACATTTTCTCAAACTTGTGTAATATTGTGTTATATGTACAAGAATCCTCCAGGCCTACAAGATGACTTCTCTGAAGAATTTAAGTTCATCAAGATCCATTGTCTGGCTCCCAACACTACACCGTTACTCCAGCCCATGGACCAGCAAGTTATGTCTAACTTTAAGAAGCTCTACATTAGAGCACTCTTTGAGCATTGTTTTCTGGTGACCTCACTCTCTGAGAGTTTTAGAAAAAAATCACTTCCACATCATTGCCTGCCTCAAGATGATCGACAAGGCGTGGGAAGGGGTTACCAAGAGAACCCTAACTTCTGCTTGGAAGAAGCTTTGGCCAGAGAGCCTTGTCGAATGTGACTTTATGGGGTTTCGAGACAGTACCTGTGGAACCTGCAGTCAACGAGATTGTGTCTTTAGCCACTATCATGGGATTGGAGGTGGATAACAGTGATATCGAAGAGCTTGTGGAAGAGCACAGCCAAGAGCTGACACTGAAGAGCTTAAGGAGTTGCAATATGTTTCACAGCAAGAAGTACAGGAGGACAATTTGTAAGAGGAGGAGGAGGTAACAGAAAAGCAACAATCTTCTGGCAAAATAAGATAAATGCTGAAAGCATGGAAAACTGTTGCATCTTATATTGAGAAGCATCACCCTAATAAGGAAATGGCTATGTGCGCTGCAAATGTATTTAATGTTAATGCTGTGTCGCATTTTCGCCAAATTGTGAAGCGTCGGCAAAAGCAAATGTCTCTGGACATCTTACTAGTGAAAAATTATAAGGTGTGTATCATTAATTATTTCTATTTGTTTTTCTGCAAATCAAATTAGCATTCCTGGTGGGTTCGTTCCACGGTGGAAGAAACAGTGAAGATGATTCACTTTCCTTAACAATATGTATATAATTTTCTTTGATTAAACGTTATACATAACATGATGTGTGTAGTTTTTCGACATGGAACGCATTATCGTATTTTACATTAATTTATATGAGAAAAACTGTTTCGCATGAAGAGTGTTTCGCTTTACGAGTATGATTCTGGAACGAATTATGCTCGTTAAGCGAGGTTCCACTGTAATTAGTTAACGTACATTGGTCGAGCAGAGACAGCCTGGTAACAGAGTTACAGGACATACCCCTAAACAGCTCCATATTAAAGCTGCAGAACTAACCCCATTATTTTTTTGGCTGTTGCGATTTTTCTAGACTCATTTCACGTTCATTAGTTTGCCATTGCTCTCTGAATGGCCAACTCTCGGTACCACTGTCGAAACCACCACAAGACAAAAACGCCCGCAGCTTCTTCTTCTTCTACATTTAACGTTAACCACTTTCAGCTAGGTCAGATAACATTGCTGCTCTCTTTCCTGTCCGCTATATTTGTGGTGACGTGTCTGGTCCTCATCTCATCTGGTTTGGGATTGTGCTTCGTCAGCAGCTGGGTTCGAACCCGGCATTCAGCTCTCATATTAATAACAACACGGGAAATCATCATTTCTTTTCATAGGTCCAGCAGCAGGGCTGCCAATACTTGGGTTTTCCCCCAAGATCTAGATTTTAATATGACGCCTTAGGCTCATATTTTGGAATCTTGGGTTAAAAAATATATCTTTATATAAAGAATATACATATATATGTGTGTGTGTGTGTGTGTGTGTGTGTGTAAGGAAATCGAAACAAGAGTGTACTATAGGAGAATCTACAAGAATACTAGGTTATGCAGATGACATTGATATCGTTGGAGAAAATGAACTAGAGACTGTTAAAACACGGACTCTCTTAAAAGAATCAGCTCAGAAAATGGGACTAGTTATCAATCAAGATGAGACAGACTACATGATAATAAATAGACAGGAAAAAAATATAAACTCCGGTCACATCATCATCATCATTATCAGGTGTCTTGCCGACTGGCGTGGGCGATCATGCCTCTCCATAATCCACGATCTCCTGCAGCATGTATCAGTTCGTGTGCTGGCCACATACAAGTCGATAATATGAAAATCAGACGAACGGAAACATATAGGTACTTTGGTGAAAACTGTAACTGCTCCAACATGCTGAAAAAAGAAATATAATCAAGAATTCAATCTGAAAATGAAGTATACTATGTCAAAGTGTCTGTCTCGCAATACCAAGATCAAAATATATAAAACGTTGATAAGACCAGTCGTTTTATATGGCTCTAAAACTTGGAGCACACAGATGCAAACAGCGGGGAATGGAGAGTGAGAAGCAACTACGAAATTCATAATCTGTTTAAATCACCATAAGCACTATAAGAGCTAATAGACTGAAATGGTTGTCGCACATTAAAAGAATGTCAGAGGACAGAGAAGTAAAAACTGTATACACGAAGGAGGTGAATGGTCGTAGACTATGGAGAAATAATTTCCAGACAGACCTGCAAACACTTGGTGTCACCAACTGGAAAGAGAAGGCCAACAAGAGAGATGAATGGAGGCGAGTGATATCTGCAGCAATGAACCTCGAGGGAACGGAATGCCGAAGAAGAAGAATAAAAATGTGGTTAAATGTTTCGTTTCGTAACCATAACATTTGTACTTTTCATCAATCTTGGTTTTTTTTTTGGGTTTGCTCTTTGCTTTTGTATTGCTTGGGTTTTGTGGTCAGCTCAGCTTGGGTTTGGATTAAAAATTACATTGGCAACCCTGGTCCGCAGCCGAAAATAAACATTGGGGAAATCCTTGTTTCGTGGGACAACACAACTTAGCAAAAGTATTGGTACTTTATTTAAAACGTTACGTTAGTAATATTAAACGAAGTCGAAAGATGGCAGATAAAACTTCATCTAATAAAAACAAAATGTCTGTCAAGACAGCAAATAGTGAGCAAAATGAATCATATTTCTTTTTCTATGGAAATAAATCGCCGTTTAGCCAGCATTACAAGGCGAGATTCTCTGTTGATGGCGTTGTTTATAACTGTGGTGAACAGTTCATGATGTACTCTAAAGCCGGTGAGAGTTGAAATTGTGCACTTTGAATGTCATTTTTAGTTGTAAAGCAGTTAATAAGATGTATTAGTTTTATTAAAATATTCGGGCTTGTATTTGACACAGAGCATTGAATAAAGTATTTGATTGCTTATTTAATAAGTTAAGCTATCTTCCGAATAACGGTCCCAAATTATCGAGGCAAAAAATATACCCTAACAGGGTCTCAGTCACGTGTAAATTGCGAACTTCCGACGACTACCGCCACCGCCGAGAGTGGCTTGGACTCACGAGCAAATAAAATGAAAGAAGCTGCAGGAGATGCGGTAGCTGCTGCTCGTGAGTCCCAGCCATCTAGTCAAATAAAGAATAAAAATTGTTAGGCTATCTTCCAAATAACAGTCCCAAATTATCGAGGAAGAAAATATACCCTAACAGGGCCCCAGTCCTTGTCAATTGCACTCTTCCGGCAACTTCCGCCACCACCGAGAGTATCCCTCACACCGCTCACACGGCGTGAATTGAGGCTAAACTAGATGGCTGGGATTCATGAGCAGCAGCTACAGCATTTCCTGGAGCTGCCTTCATTTTATTTGCTCGTGAGTCCTAGCCATGTAGTTTAGCCCCAATCCACGCGGGTAAAGCGGCGTGGGGGATACTCTCGGCGGTGGCTGTATAGACCCCAAAAGTTCACAATTCGGCGGTAGTGGTATAGTCCCCGGAAGTGCGCAATCGACACATGACTGAGGCCCTGTTAGGGTATATTTTCTGCCTCAATAATTTTGGACCGTTATTTGGAAGATAGCCAATTGTTCATATGTTTTATTTGTTTAAGCTTATGCTTATGGATTGAAATGACATAGTTTGTGGCTGATCTGTTTCAGCCTTATTCAAAGGAATAGCCTATAACAAACTACCCAGTCACAGTTCTGCTCTAGTAAAACCACGTATAGCACATAGCAGGTCCTTCACAAAACATTGCTGTCATCACAGTCTGCCTGAAAGAAACTCAGTCATTCAACAACTCTCTCAGGTCACTTATATCATGTGCCCATCTTCGTGTTGGTCTGCCCCCTGCTCCTCCTTCCTGGTTCCATGCCTTCTGCTATTATTTTTTCCAATCTGCCAGGGCACTTGATGTGGCCAAAATGTTTCAACTTCTGAGACAAGAAGCTGCTTATTAGCCAATCTTCCTTGATGTTCAGAATTTTTAGAATGTCAGTATTTATTTTCTTCCTTATCCATGATATTTTTAGAATTTTTTATTTAGATTTTCAGCTAAATGACTCCTATTTTTTTCCTTAAGGACTGGGAGATAGTACTGACTCACATCCATATGATGCTTCAGGGAGGCTGCATACTCTCTACATTTTAACTTTGATTTCCTTGCTGGCGCTTACGTAGACTTTTATTGATGTTTAAAAACTACATTGCCAATAAATGCTAGAGGTAATTTGTGAGGGTCAGAATAGGACACACAACAAACTCTTTATAAATGAATTTAAATGTCAGAAGTTGTAGTTGGACTGTTTCAGCTTTATTCAAAGATGAGGCCATGAAACAGAAAATTATGTCCACTGATGATCCAGTCAAGCAAAAAAAGTTTGGAAGACAAGTTCAGAATTTTGAGAAGGATGTGTGGAACAAAGCGGCTGAAACAGTGGTAAAGATAGCATCTAAAGCTAAGGTAGGTAACATGCATGCATATTTAATTACCTAAGCATGTTAGGCTCTTTGTGAATATACTCAGAAACCAACCAACCTAGCTACAAGCTGAATTATGGGGGATGCGTTTGGGTGTCATGATTGTTAATATTAGCTTAAATTTCATTTCTTTAAGCTGACAAGTAAATGAACATTCCATTATGTATCAAAAGATTGCCAGAAGTAAATGTGCAAATGCAAAGAAGACTTATAGAGTATCAGCTAGTGGAGATTCTTTAAGTGCAATTTGGTAGAGTGAAATGATTTAAAAACAGAGCAAATGGTTTGGACATTTGTCAAATCTACCACCAGTCAGTGTACCGTGGAGAGCCCTGTCACTTAGACATAATGGAAGCAGATTCATAGGTCAACCACCCAAGCGATTGATAGATGGAATATCTGAGGCTGTAAACAGCAGCACCTACATAGCAAGATTCTCACGTGATGCCTGTTTAAAACCTGGTGCTAAAATGCAATACAGGACTAGAGAAGAGGAGGAAGAAAAAGAATGTGATTTTTTGATACACTTTAAATGGTATACTTTATTCTCTGGGCTGTTTTTTTTTTTCTCCATGTCACTGCATGCTAATCATTGTTCTAGACCTGTTAGGTTTGTATGGATGATAATGATGCTCTCACTATGCAAGCTGTTTTACTCATCAGAACCATGTCTTGTGTATTTTCAGGCCAGGATGTCCTATAAGTCCTCTCTATTTGTCTTCTATGAACCATATCTTCCATAATGTCATTTTTTCACGTCTTCTTATAATCATTTTTAAAAAAAAATTGTTCCATTAGTTCTTCTAATCTGCTAAATTAGAGATTTCTTTAATTTTTATCTTTTTACCTCTTCTATTGATACGTGGTAGAGGGCAGCCAGACCTGGCCAAATCTCAACATTTAGGGAAAGGCAAGACAAAGATGTAATCAAACTGCTACTTGTAGCATCAGTACTAGATCTGTTTCCTGCTGCAAAAGATAAGGACAGAGCATGTATGGGAATGTCCCAAGTGGGGTAATATCAGTTCTGGACTCAGCTAAATATGCTTCATAATTTCATATCCATCTTTTTGCTTCACACTTTGTAAAAAAATTATCAGTTAACAGCAACAGTGTGTAAGTCTCACAATTATAGCTAATATTAGAGTAAAGATTGGAAAGTCATAATCTCTAGTTTTTGCTTAAGACCTGGTATATGAAGAAGATACTGGAAAATATTCATTAAGGAAATCATTATTGTTCTTAGTTTTTATTCAGATCTGTTAGAATAGTGTCTATTTTATTTTTCTGACATGTCAAAGTTTCAGCAAATGTGTGGCTTTTAAATATGTTTACTTCCCTTGTCTTTGTGTTTTAGTGACTTTAAGGTTTTGAACTGACGGCCCTTTGGGGGCAAGTGAACAGTATGGAGGCGCAGATATTACGGTCTAACGAGAATGGCGCTGCGAGGAGTTACCAGGGGATCTGGCTCACACTCAACACTCAGGGAAAGTATGAGACGGATACACAATCAGATCGTTACTGGTACCATCGGAATTGGAACTCTTCGCTTGCTGCTAAAGATCGAGACTAAGCACTTATGGGAGTGCCCTGAGTGCTGTGATGTTGTTTTCTCAATTCAACATTCAACATTCAAGTTTAAAACTTGAAAACTGTAACACATTTTATTAGAGATATGAAGTCTTTAGCTACAAATGTGAGAATTATATTTTGAATAGATAACAAAATAAGATGTAAGCCAGTTGATTTTAACGTAATACAATTTCAGTAAATTCAAAATATTTGACAAATAGCTTACATTTATATATGTATACATTATAATGTTTCTGAAAATTATTTCAGTTTGACCAGAATGAGGAAATGAGGAAACAATTGTTTGCTACCTATCCGAAAATTCTCGCTGAAGCCAGTCCGCGAGATAGAATTTGGGGCATTGGCCTAGGAGCATCAAATCCAAAAACTTTAAACAAAGCCAATTGGAGGGGACAAAACAAACTTGGGTATATTCTGACTGAAGTTAGAGATGAACTCATGAAAGAATATGAATCATAAAATCATAGTACACTCATACCTTATTTTAACTTTTTTGATTCCGAGAAGATGTTATGTCAGTACTTAACATTTCTAAATTTGTAGGATTAGAGCAGGGATAACCATTTGATGATCCACACATAAAAAAAACGTAAGAAAGAAATCTATTTTGTGATTCTATTATTTTTTTAAATGATAATACATTCTTCAGTATGTTTTTTTTAAAGTATGGGATCCTGCCGTACCTTAGATAAAAAGGGGTCTGCGTTAAATGGAACACATTCCATGGGGGGCTTCAAACATAATAAGTATCAGATGCTTCTTGCCATTATCACTTGACCTCTGAGGCACTGGTGATTGTTCTTTGTAATTATTTCCATATCTTGGGTATCTGCTGATAATTCAATGCGGGCTGAAAGAGTGGCAAAATACTAGCTTGTCAGCCTGGGAGAAATATATTTTTAACACATGCCATCAATGAAACCATTTGTCGTAATGGAAATAAAACAATGTCATGAATAATGGTTATTTCATAATGACAGAACTGCTACTATTCCTCTCTTTGTTTGCCTTGCTTCTCCTGATGAAGCATAGGCTCTCATGCTAACCCTTTGTAGAAGAAACTGAACCTAAACTAGGAAGTAAATTCAGTGAAGGAAAAGGAACAACAGGAGACATAAACACTTTTAAATGTTTTGATTAGCACAAATGCACTCACTCTGATTTCAGCATACTTCTTGTAGACTTTTAAATGATTCATTACAGATTGTAGATACAATTTTCTATTGGTTGCATGTTCTAGCTTAAATTATATTTAGAATGACACATGGAAAAGCTTTTTTCATCAGCACCTATACTGTCAGCAGGGATGCTTGAACCTGGGGCTCAGCATCTTGAACCTGCTTAGGCCCTCCTCCTCAATAATTGTATGGGTGTACAGAGCCTCATTATGTCTCCCCTTCCTCCTTTTTCTTTCTTACTTTCTTTTTATTTTAGAAACAAAATTTGCAAAGCGGCAATGGCACCCACCCTTTCAAATATATATGCAAGCTCTTTTCTTAGTACTTGTTTATACATCTCATATTACTTCATATATATTAATATTGTCTTTTTGCCATTCATGACATAGTAATGGTAATAATAATTATTATGCATTTAAACAAGGCTCCCCTCAGCACCCTTGCCTAGAAAATGTGTAAGGGATTAAGGGCACAACCCCACTCTCCCCCACACCTACAACTGCCAAAGTTTTCTTTGTGTCAGGGGCTGTGTCTGTCATGTATGGTAGGTTATTGCATTACTGTTCTGTGCTGGAAATGTGGACCTTGGTAACCCATCAGGATTTATCTTAATTAATTATATTGTCCTTGATTCATACTGGGTTTGTTAATACCTGTGATAATTATATGAATTTCTTATTAATTAAAATAGTGTTGTTATTATTACTGTTTAAAATGTGATTTACATACCTACCCAATAAAACTTTCATTGTTATATTATAATTAGTCTGTTACAATTTTTGTGCTGGACATTTGTGTCTTTGTAACATATGGGCAACTATTAATCTTATTTGTCTTCATGTTTACCGGCTGAAACCTCAGGCAGAAAGTTCTTGTTATTTGTCCACATTTGGACTTTAGATTTGTTCCAGAACCTGAGTGTTGTGTGCACATCTGTTTTACATATCAATCTTATTTGTGTGCAGACTATTGATTTTCTTGCATCTCAGGGAGATGCACTTTGAAAGATACTCCCAGTTTGTTGACTCATACGACATGCTTGTTGGGGAGGCAGTGGGTCTATTCATTTTCCCCACAAGAGGGCCTCGGACTCCACATGGGGAGGCAGCTATTAATAATAATGATAATAATAAGTGATAAGAGGTTTTGAAAGAGGCGGGATCCCGAAGATAACTTATCACAGACATCAGAAGGAGACAGTTATCATTTTTCGGCCATGTTATGAGAAGAGGGAAAATAGAACATGTTGTGACCACTGGAAAGATATGTGGAAGGAGAGATAGAGGAAGACAACAAGAGAAGATGCTTGACAGTCTTGTTGCATGGCATGGAGGTGTGTCGGCACACGAACTGATATATGCTGCAGGAGATCGCAGATTATGGTGAGGCATGATCGCCCACGCCAGTCGGCAAGGCACCTGATGATGATGATGAATAATAATTAGGGCTCGTTACCCCCTGTTGTACACAATGGTATGCAGACCAGTACCTCTTCTATGCATCTTTTTTTTCCCCTGCTTCTGTAATGGAAACTTTATGTTGAGTAACAGCACCTTTTTTACATGTTGAAGTGAATACTGGAACCTTTTTTCTAGAAAACAACCCTGTTAATAATAATATATATCGTTATTGATTCAAACTGTGTTTAGGTTTAGACGACGAATTGATATCATGGGACACGGGTAGTAACCCATAAGTGCTGCGTTCTACTTTTGACTCAAGACAGAGTCCGAAGAATCTCAGTGCAGTGCACGAACTCCATAGCACCGGAGAGACGTAAAATACTTTGGGTAGATTTTTAAATTCAGATTTTGCCTGGGCAGCGCTGTTAGGCTACTCTTTTTGATTTCCAACTGCCAAGGGATTTTTTGTATGCTCAGCAAAACACACAGGCATCTCATCTTAGTACCCAATACACACTATCATCCCTCACTTACTTTTCAGAAAACCAGGAAAAATAACTAGAAGTCCATGTAAATAAATCCTAGCCTTCACTGGGGCTTGAAACCCGGACCCCCAGCACTCAAGGCAGAGGCCATGCCTCGAGACAATGTAGCCCCAAATTTGTTAGATAATGCTTATCATATAGAATCTGCTGCTATATTTACAAGAAATAGAAGATTTAGTGATATTTCCTGATGTGAGCAAGCATCACTGAACATTGAAGATTTAGTGATATTTCATGATGTGAGCAAGCATCACTGAACATTGAAGATTGAGTGATATTTCCTGATGTGAGCAAGCATCACTGAACATTGAAGATTGAGTGATATTTCCTGATGTGAGCAAGCATCACTGAACATTGAAGATTGAGTGATATTTCCTGATGTGAGCAAGCATGACTGAACATTGAAGATTGAGTGATATTTCCTGATGTGAGCAAGCATCACTGAACATTGAAGATTGAGTGATATTTCCTGATGTGAGCAAGCATCACTGAACATTGAAGATTTAGTGATATTTCCTGATGTGAGCAAGCATCACTGAACATTGAAGATTGAGTGATATTTCCTGATGTGAGCAAGCATCACTGAACATTGAAGATTGAGTGATATTTCCTGATGTGAGCAAGCATCACTGAACATTGAAGATTAAGTGATATTTCCTGATGTGAGCAAGCATCACTGAACATTAAAGATTGAGTGATATTTCCTGATGTGAGCAAGCATCACTGAACATTGAAGATTGAGTGATATTTCCTGATGTGAGCAAGCATCACTGAACATTGAAGATTGAGTGATATTTCCTGATGTGAGCAAGCATCACTGAACATTGAAGATTGAGTGACATTTCCTGATGTGAGCAAGCATCACTGAACATTGAAGATTGAGTGATATTTCCTGATGTGAGCAAGCATCACTGAACATTGAAGATTGAGTGATATTTCCTGATGTGAGCAAGCATCACTGAACATTGAAGATTGAGTGACATTTCCTGATGTGAGCAAGCATCACTGAACATTGAAGATTGAGTGACATTTCCTGATGTGAGCAAGCATCACTGAACATTGAAGATGGGCTTTTTATGTGCAGAAGAAACAAACATACCAGGTCTGACCAGTTAACATTTTTGTAGAACAAAGCTATATTGATCAGCAGAGGACAGGAGGATATGCGGAGGACAAGTGGACATGCAGGGGACATGCTGAGGGCAGGAGGACATGCTGATGGCAGGAGGACATGCTGAGGGCAGGAGGACATGCTGATGGCAGGAGGACATGCTGATGGCAGGAGGACATGCTGATGGCAGGAGGACATGCTGATGGCAGGAGGACATGCTGAGGGCAGGAGGACATGCTGATGGCAGGAGGACATGCTGATGGCAGGAGGACATGCTGATGGCAGGAGGACATGCTGAGGGCAGGAGGACATGCTGATGGCAGGAGGACATGCAGAGGACAAGTGGACATGCAGAGGACAAATGAACATGCAGAGGACAAGTGGACATGCAGAGGACAAGTGGATATGCGGAGGACAAGTGGACATGCAGAGGACAAGTGGACATGCAGAGGACAAGTGGACATGCAGAGGACAAGTGGACATGCAGAGGACAAGTGGACATGCGGAGGACATGCTGAGGGCATGAGGACATGTGGAGGACAATAGGACATGCAGAGGACAAGTGGACATGCGGAGGACATGCAGAGGGCAGGAGGACATGCGGAGGACATGCTGATGGCAGGAGGACAAGAGGACATGCAGAGGACAGGAGGACATGCAGAGGACAAGTGGACATGCGGAGGACATGCTGAGGGCAGGAGGACTTGCGGAGGATAAGTGGACCTGCAAAAATGCCTGCATAGAGGCCTTCATAAAGGCCTATGGCTTTCTCGTGTAAAACCACTGGCGGAGAGAAAGAAAAGAAGAATACTTGTTATGATTTTGTCAGTTGTTTATTATAATAATATGCATATTATTATTGTTAAAAAAATAAATTTACATATCTGCCCAATAGAGTCTTTCTTTGTTACATTATAATTATTGTTATTGATTCACATATATTGCATTTTCTGCCAAGATGCTGATGGCCAGCCGGCCACGCGGCCTCTGAAAAGGCATTTGTTTCCAGCTAGGTTTTGCTGATGGAAAGTCCCCATTTCTGGACCTAGAGTTGAAAGGTTCCATCACCCAGCTACCAGGCTGAATGCCTATTGTGACACTGTGAGCTGTGAATTTCATGTGGAATGTGTTTTTTTCTTTTTTGTTGTGCCTGTAATGTGTGGTTGACAGAGCTAAAATGGCAGGTGGCTGATTACACTCAGAATGGTGTATAATTTTAAGA